TTAAGGCTAATTAGATTAACACTAACGGTTGCGCTCTTCCAGACCTGGTTCCTTAGGAGAAGAGAGAAGTCATGGGAAGGCCAGAGTGGTATGAAGAGTTTATTCTGCAGAAGGATTGAAGAATAGGTAGGAGGATATTTGATTCGGGGGTGAAGATGTGCGCCCGAGCGGGGCAGTGCCTTAAGTGACGTCTAACGGCAGTAATCTAAGCGGCCACCGAAAACCCTGTTTGTCTTATGCAGTCTTGGAGGTAATCGGTTGGACAGCGCGAGGTTAGGCACAGGCGTGGATGCAACCGAGACTGGACATACTAGTAGGTCGCGCCCGACATTGAGCGAGAGGTGGACAGGGTGCTGCAGCCGTTCACGCAGGAACGCGTGTTAAAAGCAGTCAGCGCGACTGCAGCCTTGGCGTGATCTGTCAGCGATCACGGGTTCCGACAGTGGCCGCTAGTGTCTACTACAGCTTAGCGGGGCAATAACCTCTCCCTCCCTCTTCCCCTCCCTGGTAGGACATCTTGATGTAAATGACGTAGCGTGCACAAAAATCGAAGAAAATACAAAATATTTGTTGATTTTATCAGTTTTGGAATTATCTATGTTCTCCATGTATATATTGTGCCTTAATCAATGCAACCCAGCTTAGTGGTATAACTGTGACCGTGGCGGCTTGGCCACACAGTAAGCCCTCAAGAACAAAGAGAGAAATTTAGTCTGAGACATGGTTCTTTAACGTAATGGGTCTTTCCGCTTCCGTAAGCTGAACCTTTTTCCAGGCTGCTCCCTGTTTGATTTTCTTAAATCAATCTTCATGATCTCATCGAGGTTTTAGTTTTGAAACGATGAAAAATCTCCTAAACCAGAGGGAGGTCGATGTGCGGGTTGAGTGCAAGGACACTTAGTCACGACTCTCAGCCTGCACACAATATCGGTCAAGAACAGCTGGCTCGGTCGTTGGAAATGCCCCGTTTCTGATAGAGTTGTGTTAGGTAACGCATGCACTCTGTCAGAATGTAGTCAACTATCTCATTAATTAGTTCTAAATCGACGAACGATTCGAAAGAATTCTAAAAAAGAAATATGAAGTAGTCGTTAATGCCTTTAATAAACGCTTTTTAGGATCGGGAACATAATTGACGACAGCAAACCCTATATTGTAACAATTTACTATTTAGAAAGTGATAAAGGTCAGTCTTTGATTGTGAGTGTGAGCCTCTTTCGGTTTCATTCTTGCACAACATTTCTTCCAGGTCTACTCTTCTTGCCTATTTTCCATTAAAAATACTTAGTAAGAACATTGTCCAGCTTT